CAGGTAATAGGACTTCAGGCCCTAAAATCAATTTCCTGCTTTCATATCCTCTTCTTAATGTCAGGGCTAAGGAAGTAATTATTTCAGTCCTCTGACTCACAGTTGTTATTGCCTTTGAAGAGTTTTGTATCCCAATAGCGCACCACTGTCCTTATGTGGAGTAGGCAGTTAAAAACAACTGCTTAATATTCTTGATTCAAGGACTTTGGCTTCTTTAGGAAACAGGGCTTCCGCAACCACTGCCTGCCTTTAAGATGGTCTGAGATAGTAGTTATGGCCTTGAGTACAGCTCAGATTCTCTTTAAAAAATAGCTTAAAGTCTTCTGTTGTCGTTTATTCTCAATTCATGTTTTCCTCCAAACACTTGATTCAAAAGCATAATATTTTTATAGTCTTGACAATTTTTAAATTATGAAACATACTAAGTTATACTCGATGCTTGACCTCTGTAGGACTGTGGTCTAGCAGAAGCAGAGAGACAAAATGGAGCATATCTATCCCTGGATGTGTGGAACAAGTTAAAGCTTATGTCTTGTTGGCAAGGAAGTTACCCCATTTTCATATGCAGAATTTATTTCCCTTCTAGAAACACTAAGTCTGAGGAATAGATCTAACGTCAGTTTATCCTTAAACTTTGTTGGTGCTCTTAAATAATATCTATGGGTGCTGAGTAGTCCTTTTAGGAGGAGATACGGGGGTCAGTAGGAGATAAGGAAACAGAGGAAAAGGTGTGAGTGGTTGGATAGAGTGCCATCCTTGATGACCAAAAATGATATTTCACAGAATTGCAGCCACCTCTCCCACCCCACCGCCGCCCTTGTGCATTCGGTGAAGTGGTGAGCAATGCCCACCCCAGCTGCTGTAGAATGTAGGGCTGATAATGATGCCGAAAATGGCAGCCAGTGAGGGTCTTCTGTCAAGGCGACCTTGAATACTTTTTAATTTTGACACTGGTTTGTAGTTGTAGTCATGGCTCCTTAGCCCCATCCTTGCTGATCCTTCATCTTCCTCATAATAATAATTATTATCCTTATTCTCGTCTCTGTTTAAGTCCTCTTTTTATTCTACTAAGTTGCTTATATGAACCCAGATCCAAGGCCACCTTTTTTTTTTTTTTTAAGATGACCGGTAAGGGGATCTCAACCCTTGGCTTGGTGTTGTCAGCACCACGCTCAGCCAGTGAGCAAACCGGCCATCCCTATATAGGATCCGAACCCGTGGCCTTGGTGTTATCAGCACAAGGCCACCTTTTAAAAATGTGTGATGATGTGCTATTCAGGGAACAGTCGGTGTCTGCACGTTCTCTGTTTGCTGTTATCATAATGCTGGATTCAGTTCACTTGTTTCATGGGGCCTGTTGTGTGATGTCACTTACCAGCAGACATCTCAAGGATGAATGAAACTATGTGACCTTCTTCCTTCCAACAAGATAAGGACAGCTGGACATGTAGAGTTTTTATATTCAAGATGATAAGTTTTTATATTCATCCTGAGTGAGTAGGAAAAACACACAGTCTGCTCTCACAGCACAGTCATCACCACAAAAAACTGACTTCTGTGTCCAAATGGGTGGGAGAT